AATTTGTTGGTAAATGTTTGCTAATCGAAGATGATCTTGTTCTATTGTTACTAAAATCTCATATAATCAATATAAACTATGAAATTTTGAAATATTTAGAAAAGATAAAAAAGTATGATTTAGCTATTGAATTATATCAGATTTTAGTAACAATAGAACAAGATCATCTTCGATTAGCAAACATTTACCAACAAATTTCCGATTGTTACAGAAAGCAGAATAAAACACATTCAGCATTCAAATACAATGTGAAAGCAATAAATATTTATGAAAAATCTTCGCTTGATGTTTTATGGTTAAATAATTTATTAGTTTTATACATGATGAATCTTTCATATTCTTATAAAAAAGAAGATTATTTATCAGCCATCGATAATATGAGATGCATAATGTCGTTAAATGAAAAAATGAATTCAACTGATGCAGTTGAACTGGTTAGCAATAACAATTTTTTGGGTAAACTTTATTTTAAAAATGAACAGTTGGATTTAGCATTAGATTACTGTACAAACGCATTAAATACAAGTTTTGAAGCTGAAGTTGAGGATGTCGAATTAGGGAGAATTTTAAATAATTTAGCGCAGATTTGGTTGAAAAAAGGTGATTATAATCAAGCATGGTCTTATTGTTCAAAGTCAATGGAAATATCTGTAAAAGGGTCAGCGACTAGCAAAGCTGTAATTGGTGATAATTATGAAATAATTGGTGATATTTATCGATATTATGGTGAAAAACAACTTAGTTATTGTTGTTACTCAAAATCGTTGAAACAGCTTGAAACAGTAGTGCTACAATGTTCGAATGATATCAAACCTTTACAACATAAAATAAGTAACGTTCATCATTCTAATTCACTTATCCTTTGACTATAATGGGAATTAAACTTGTCACTGACAGTCAATCTTACTTTCTTCTAAGGCAAGAGACAGTGATATGATATTTATTTTTCAAGAGAATAAACGAGTTCTGTACTTGCTTTTTTTGTATATGTTGTAGGCCAACTTAAAATTAAGTCAAATTTAAAATCTGCCCAGGCAAGATTAAAAGTTTAGTTAATTTTGACTGGAGATTTCCTAGGCAAAATTTGTATGACGACAAAATTGCACAATTGAAATTTGTACAATTTTGCTATCGTAGTGAAATTCCGTGACGAAATTGTGACATTTTATTCTATTTTTTATGAAATAGCTGTCAGAACTATGCAACATTACCCATGCATATCACAGTTGGGACTGAATTGTCTAAACAGAGAACACAGAGCTGAATTGTTTTCAGAATCAGATTGATTCATTGGTAAATTGCTACTACTATGCGTTCCAAAGTACAAGACAGTCAGCCACTTTTTGAATAACTTCTGATAGGAATAAGATAGAGACCTGCGATTTTCGCTGCTCAATAGTCAAGACTTGAGCAGAACTTTCCACAAGCGGAAACAACTTTTGAAAAAATTCCAGAGATCGGGTTTCTAGAGGATCTTTGGAAAACCAGCTCCGTTCTCAGAAAACTAACATACAATGTTAGTAATTTTTTTGCATGCGTAGATAGTCC